TGCCCTTTGCCATCGGCCCATGGTGCTCACAGTCCCCCGTGGTACTTGCTGGACCGAACTGGGACTGACTGGACCTTACCGCAAACTGATTGTGGACTCACTGCTATCCTACCGAGGTTGTACTGCGATTGCACTGCAGTTTAGTCCACCACTTGCCCACTTGCCAACCTTCTAGAAGGACTACAGTTAGACTTTTGGAACTCACTAAGACTTCTACTCTATAGGTCGACAGATCGAACCCCTACTACCAACGGACCTACGACAGACCTACCAACTGTCTACGAATACACAGGTCACAGGTTCAAATCTCGGGGTTTACACAGATACTGTACATGGGAAGGACGAGGTCTAGGGATCGAACCCTGGGTACTGCATCTGCTACTGCTAAAAGGTGAAAACCGTTTCAGATGTACACATATAACGGAGGATCCGCAATGTGATGAAAAGGACTGAATGAACAATGCAGTGCAAGTGAAATCAACAAGCAGTGTACATCTGGATACATACAAAAATGGTGCTTTATAGCGCAGTGGAAGACTTAGATACAAGTCCTGACCTGACCAGGACTGMCCCCCTTCACGTTGTTATAAACTTGGTTGTCTGACGATTTTTACCGCCACTCACACACAGACAATCTCATACACGCCCATACATGCATAAGAGAAGGGGGAGAGGAGACAGAGTCCAGACTGTACACAGATCAGAATAGGCAGCGAAATACAGTTATGCATAGGTGGGGAGAAGACTGCGTGTTTCTCACTCTCTGACAAACTCCCAACAACCAATCACAAGAGGAACCTGCGAGGATAACAATTGGAATACACACTGATGATGAGCCAAACCAAATATCGTTACAGAGTTTGTTCCAGTATCTCGCCATACTCAGAACCCCACACTCCACTCTCTACCCTACACCCAGTTCGTAGCGCCCAACCGAAACAGCCTCCCAAAGGCGAGCGCCAACCACCCATTTGAAGAACAGATTCGGTGATGAAGTCTTCAGTGCCGATGGACAACTCTGACGAAGAAACAGGCAGCTATGGCTGCCGCCACCCACATAGGCTCAGTGAAGAGCCTCAGAATAGCCCAGCCGATCGCAGATACCCCCAGGGGTAGATGCGCAAAGAGTGCCCCAGCTATGGCAAGCTCTGAGGCTGGCTATGGCTGTTGTCCACGACGAACGTCTGCAAATGCCGCTTCAGACAGTCGTCACCACCAACTCCCTTCGCTCCTGAACGCTGCAACGCGAAAATGAAAAGCCAAAAAAATCCTCAACAGTCCTACGCTAACCTACTTGTAGATTCTACACTACTCTAGCCTAGGGCCTACCGGTACCGGTTCAGTTAGGGCCTGCTCGGCCTCTACGAAACCGGTCCTACTGCTGCACTTAGGGCTCAGGGCCACTTAGGGCCGGTAACCCCTTAGCCTCTACGGCTGCTAATCTAAGCTATTTTTAGAACAGCGGGCGGCCCTGAGTGCAAACAAAAAATACAGCAAGGCACACACTGTACAACCTCGCAGTCAGTCTCGGCAGTCAAAATCAGCAAGTCATTGCAGGCTTACCCCCCCGGGGAGTGAGGACCTCCGAGCTAGGGGTGCAGACGAGGTGAACGGCGAGGAAGGTTGCCCTTTTGAGCCACTTCATATCGTAAAACAATTGACTTTGCTGTCTTGAGAAGTTCCCTTCTGTAGAACCATCTGCTCTCAGAAGGAGGCTGGAAAGCGAACCTCACAAGATACTACCGATCGGGGCCTGTGCCCCACTCATCCTAAGTACTTTCCACGTCATAACCGGTCGGGGAATGCATCAGCTGACGTGAAGGGAAGCAACTTAGATGCATGGAAGACCGGGTAGGTTCGTAGATGCAGCGGGACGTCGATGACATAGGATGGACCGAAGGGATTAGCGCCCACTGTATCTAAGACCTGCCATGGACCCAAATAACGAGGCAACAGCTTGGGGGAGATATCCTCCTCCCTCGACAGCTCAAAACTGGCTACCGAGACATAATCACCAGTGCGGATGGGGGAAGGCCGCCTATGGCGATTAGCTTGTTCAATCATTGCCTTTTGGGCTTTGAACAAGTTCGCCAGTGCTCTTTCCACATCTATGCGATAGAGTTTGGTGAACTCTGCAGTGCCTGGTGTCAGGTCTGACTTAGCCTTATCGATGATATCATCGAGAGGCTGTCGTGGTTCACGTCCCCAGTGCAACCGGTATGGACTGAACCCAGTCGAGGAATGGACAGACATGTTATAAACAAGTTGTGCTCGAGCCAAGTGGAGATCCCAGTCCTGCTGATCTAGAGAGATGACAGGACGCAGCAGTTGGAATAAGACTTGGTTCATCACTTCAGCCTGACCATTGGCTTCAGGATGATGACCAAAAGTCATGTCCAACCGTGAGTGCAGGTAGTCCTTACAGTAGGACTGCCACTCATCGCTGCAAAACCGTCAACAGCATCTACACAAACTATACACATTGTCTAACTCTTAGTCCGATTAGTCTGCACAAAAGATTCGAGAAGAACCGACTATGGTAGATTACAGTCGTACTCTAGTCTGTCTATTAGGTGTCAGCAGTCAGTCAACCAACTAATCAAAAATAAAACTTAGACTAGTGTGAGAAGATGTATGCACAATGGATATGTCAGTGATGTATAGTTGAGTTCACAATTGGAATCCCCTTCCCCTGTATCCAACGTACCTGTGAGCATCATCAAGCTGCGGTGTCTAAGGTGTGCAACCACGGCCCACCCCTGTGCCCAAGAAGTATGCTTATGACCAGCCTGCCCCTTTGTTTACCCTCGCGTGCAACGAGCCTTACGTCTGACTGATCTGGCTGATCAGGAGGGATTTAAGGAGAGCCCCCATCTAACGTCGCAAACAGGACGACGATCACAACCAGTGGACAGTTTAGACCCCAACCATAAATGCTTATAGACGGTCTGGGAGAGTCTCAATAGGACTGGTCAGTCCGCACACCCCTTCTATCAGCGCAGCAAAGAGCCTCAATGGACAAAGCAGCATGGCCTGCATGTAATAATACCCATGGGTTGGCATGGTGACCGTGACCCGTGCTTCGACCAGGGCCCTTCAGAGGCACCGCCCTCTCCTGCCAGATGCGCCACTGGGAAGAATGTCGTCTCTCAAGATAGAGCACACACGACTCCTCACCAAAGAGAGGACACTCAAGTTGGACTCACTTCCTCACGGTAAGAAGAGATTGAGAGGGTAGATAAGGAATGGGAACAACGTACCTGGAGATAGCTGCTCCCAACCACAGATTTCTCACCAATTGGGCTGATGTGCATTTCGATGACCGGTCAATAGCCTCGGTACCACCCACAACGCAATGTAGTGCCACCTCAGCCAAAATGCCACTTCAGCATACTCTCATCATCATGCACACACCCGCTGTCGCCACAGCTCCCATGCTGTCGCCACAGCCT